CTCAAGTTACATTCAGCGATCAGCAAAAAGGAATACCCCTGCTTCTATTTATACTGCCCGCAGGGCCGGGCCCTCTGCTGCCTGTTGAAAAAACGGAGAGACGAAGACACAACAGGGAATCGGGAAAACAATATCATGCAGTCAGACTCCATGGACGGGCCCTGGCGCCGAGTTGCAGCCAAAGCCTGGGACCCGCTCCCGTCCTCTCCAAATGGGCAAACTTCTCTACCCAGTGACACTCACATGACGGCCGGGCTGGGCCTCGACAGCCCCTCTGGAATGCTGAGAGTTGAGCGGAAGAATTTGCACCTGACCATCCCCTCGCTCCTCCCTGAAGGAAGCAGGGATCATGTGCACCCGTTCGAGGGAGAGACAAGAAAATCGATCCTAAAGGAAGGGCCGTGGACTCTCCGAGGGGCTTCTTCGGCACGCCAGGCTGGATGATTTCTTTGCGAGGGAGCCGTGTTCATCTGCAACTTTAGAAACAACCTGTGGTCCCGGGACACCTGAGAGACTAACCGAAATATACAGAATCATGAGATTTCGTGGGCAAAACCCACTTCCTCAGATGAGCCGGAGTGGAAAGGACAGAAACCAAGAGAAAGACGTAACAGCAGTAGCAGAAATACCTGTCAATTGCAGGACCCGTGTTAATGAGGCTAATTAAATGGCTGGATCAAAAGCTATATATAAAACAAATCCAGCCCACTTATTTAGCCTCATTATCATGGGCCCCGCAATTGACTATATATACCTTGCTTCTGGCTATTTCCATTCCAATTCATCTGATGAAGTGCATTTTGCCCATGAAAGCTCATGATTCTGTATATTTTGGCTAGTCTCTAAGGCCATTTCTACACTAGGAAACTATTTCAAAATAACTAAATTCGACTTCACTCCTGATTTAACAAATTTGAACTAGTGTGTTCACCCTATGGAGAAGCCTTGAAATGAGTCCAAGGCAGCTCTGTTATTGTGGACGCGTTACCTCGGACAGGAAGCACTAGGCTCGGGAGTTATTCATTCAAATTTTTCCTGGGAGTCGTTATTTCAAAATAGCAGCATCGGCACATCCACACCACCACTATTTCGAAATCACTATCTTGGAATTAGTGTCACTCCTGATGCAAAGCAGGAGCACAGATTTCGAGTCCCGTGGCCTGTTATTTTGAAATACCAGGCATGATCGTTTGGTATTTGGCTGCTTATTAATTCAACCGCAGGGGATTGTTTTGAAATCAAGCCGAAAGCTGTGTCTAGACTACATCCCTCTTTCAAAAGAGGGATGTAAATTAGGGAGATCAAAATTGCAAATGAAGTGGGATTTGAATTTCCCACATAATGGCAGCCATGCGTTCTTTCGAAAAAAGGTTTTTCGAAAGTAAAAACACCGTCTAGATGCTTTTCTTTCGAAAAAAAACCTTTTCCGAAAGAACCTGCAAACCTCATTTTTTCAGGCATTATGGTTCTTTCAAAAACGGGTTTTTTTTTCCCCAAAAGAACCATGTCTAGACGGTGGTTTCACTTTCAAAAAGCCCTTTTTGGAAAGAATGCGCGGCCGCCATTATACAAATGAAGCTCGGGAAATTCAAATCCCAGCTTCATTTGCAATTTCGATCTCCCTAATTTACATCCCTCTTTCGAAAGAGGGATGTTGTCCAGACATGCCCCGAGTGTAGACCAGGTGTGACGGCACGTTGGGGGTCCCCCGTCTCCTGCACCCCAAAATGGCACAAACAGACTGCACCAGCCGGTGGAATAGCGGAAGGGGTCCCCCAGAGCCAGCAGCATAGAAACCAGCCAGGTACCCCCACTACGTCACACCAGGGCGAAGGTGCCATGGGACCATGCCTGTTGCTTTTCAAGAAAAGACCAGAGAGGCTTGGAGGCTGAAGGTAGAGGTGCCAGGTGTCCGGGATTCAACCGGACAGTCCGGTTTTTGCACCCTCTGTCTGGTAAAAAAATTCAGAAAATATGGGACGTGCGCAATGTCCGGTATTTTCTGGTTTTCTAGCTGGGCGCCCAACGGAGGCCTAGAGGGGGCAGGGGGAGTGGCTGGGAGGCAGGGCCATGATCTGCACTGGGAGCATCTGGTTGCATGCAGAAACCGGTCTGGGATGGGAGGAGTGGCTGGGAGGCGGGTCTGCTTTGGGGAGCAGGCTCTGCTGCCTCCCCCTACGTTCCCAGCTTGGTGGCTGTGGGTCGTAGCCGCACAGGGCCTGCCCCAGCCCGCTCTGAGCTGTGTAAGCCGGCCGCGGGGCGTAGAGCTGGGCTGCCTCAGGCGCTGTGACCCAGGCGCCCCTCCCCGGGCAGGGAGCCCTGCTAAAAGCCAAGCTATATGCAGAGCTCTGAAGCAGGGCTCGGTTTTGTGTCGCACCCCCTCCCCCCCAAGCCACGCTCATGGGTGTTCGGTGGCGGTTGGGTGTTTTTTTTGGTTGCTCGACAAATTTTGAGCCCGTGTGTTCGGTACTTTTTGGGAGACCAGCTGGCACCCCCAGGGGAAGGGCAGATTTCTCAGCAGAGCTCTGGGCGCAGCTCTCAGGCTCGAAAGCATTGGGACCAGCGCTGAGCAGCGTGGGACGAGGGGGCTGGTTGGGAGCACCAGGCCCTTGCAAATGTGACCCCCCCAGGCACAAAAAGAGGTACCGGGGAAGAGCCCCTCCCCCCAGCGGCAGCTGTGTGGGGCCCGGTTGGCTGCAGCTGGGATCAGAGCTCCTTGGAGACGTGGGGGCGTGGCTGGTGGGGCGGGGCCGGGGGCCTCGGACAGC